GACACTCTGCATCTATTCCCTTCTCTAGGCTTTCCATGAAGGTGACAAGCGAAGCTATATTTCTTTTCATCATGCTTTTAATTTTAGTAAGTAATGATCATGTATGCTTGCCTAAATATAAAATTTACAGATCTGTGCAAGAGAGTACTTTACAGTAAGACTTAATTTCAGGCAAGTATGCTTAGGTTTAGAAGCTTTCCATTTGTATGAAAAAATATGCTGTTGTTACCTGAAACTATAGAATTGTTACTCTTTGGGCTCCTCAATTCTCCTGAGAATTTGTAATGTGTGGTAGAAGAATAATGTCTTCACCTTCTAGTTGTATTTTTTTTTTTTGTTTCTTTTTGCTGTGGTGCATTTAATAGGTAGTGTGTGGTACCACAAGCAATGCATATATTCACCATTACTATGTAGTAACAGTAATTTTGCATGTAGCTAACATGTTTGTATTCTAACACATCTTCCTCTTTAAGTGTTAGCATGTCAGTTATCAGCATTCCCCACTGGCTTGAGTTAGCTAATACTGGACATTGCTTTCATTGACTATGTCCTTCTATCAATGCCAGCCAGGCATACAAAATATTGTCACTCTTTTAAGGAAAGCATAACACTTAATATGCAAATTTCAGAACAGTTTAATGCTTTTATTTCATCAAAAGGGTAACAAATTCTACACATTCAATACAGGTAATTTTATATTGTGGAAATGCAGAAAAACACAGATGGGTGGAGAACAATATGTACATACACAAGGAAAAAAAGCAAATTCTAACTTGAATATAAACTGATTAAAAAGATATAATAGAACTCCTTGAAAAATTATTTTCAATATATTAATGATATAACACTCTCAGTAACAATAGGATCTAACTATCTGGTCCTCAAATACTGTTACAATAATTTCAAAACTGTAGATATATGTGTACTAAAGAAATTTTGTCTACCTATTTCCTCTTCCAACAAATCGCAATGTCATATGAAAACATTTTCTTCACTCTGTGTGCTCTCCTTCCCTGTTTGTTCACAGTTACTATTGCCACTGGCTTTGCACCATGTCAAAAGTCTTGTTTCATTAAGTAACTGGGGATTTGAGGAAGCTTGTAGGAAGCTTTCCTTTGTCTTCCAGGAGAAAAACCTCTTCAGTGCTGTTCAAATGCTTTTGTTACCCATTCCCTCAAACTCCCCTACACAAGGATGCATTTTTTTTTCTTCTAAAAAAAGAAATCTATGCCTGCCTGGATTTTGGGGGGAAAAGTCTGACAACTCCCAGGCATTCCCTGGTCAGGAGAAAAAACCTCATACTGCTCCTTTGGCCAGGGAACACATGAAGCTTTTTTTCTTTCTAAACATGCGTGGGATGTGGCCTTATTTGAGATTCTTCTTTCCTAAAAGCTTCCACAAATCTTTTCTAAACCACTTGCCATAGTCAATTCATGTGAAATTTATTTTACATTTGCTAAGATGAGAGTGTCTGCATCTATATGTGCACATTATATTAATTTATATGCATCTCTATCACAAAATTGTCGGGGTAGCTCACAGAATATATGCACGTGGGTGTCTGTGTAATGATAGATATAATTTTCTAGCTCATTTTGCAGAAGCAAATTTGAGGAAACATGTTTATAGCTATTTCTAATTGCTCTTACCCCACTAAACTTTCCTCTCTTGTCTACATTAATTCCACAGTATGAAGATTTCTCTGCAAGCAGGAGGAGATATATTGAGATGATGTGTGGGTACATAGGCATGTGTACATGCACATATATGTATAATGAATTTGTGCTTTATAATTGGTCAGTGTTGATTACTCGAAGGTTGCAGCATCGGCTTTGTGAAAGCAACAGCAGCAACAACTTCTAGGATTTGACCTTTTACGTAGGATACCTGACTTTCTATGTATCTGCTTCTGTTTTACTGGAGAAGAAGCAAATCTCTCAAATATATATATATATATATTTACTGTTTGTGGGTGGAGCCTCTCATGATCTTTTTGCTTTGTAATGCTTTGTTTTGCTCACTCATGAGAAATATTTCATCTTATCATGAAGATACTTCCCCACCCAGGTGCTTTCCAGTGTTTTGGATGATGCTTTCTGTTGGGGCTGGGACTGATGGGGTTTGTATTCTGTAGCTTCTTGGGGGACCAGGTTGCATAAGGATTTCCTTGCTTCCAATAATGAAAAAAATCCACAACAGTGGGAAAACCCACATAATGTATGCCAAAGATAGTTTACCAGGAAATGTGACTCTGGTGTGTAATTATGACATTTCTATAGGAGAGATGTTTAGAATCCCACATATACCAGCACAGGATGTTTCTAATGTAAACGCACTGAAAGGAAACTCTCTTTCTCTCTTTGTAAGCAATATGTACTAACCTGCAATGCAGATATAACCTTAAACCTTGTTGCGTGCAGGCAATCACTAGATCTCAGGGTTAATGAATGCCTATCTCTGAACATAGCCTATCTAGAACTATATTTGCATCTTACCATTGACGAAGTACACAGCTTTTAAAAACCTGCCTATACCCTTGGGGAGACACTGTTTTTATAAGTTCAATAATATACACAAGATAAAGTGGATTTAAATATTTTATTGGTAGGTCACACCAGAGGGACTTCAAACTTCCAGCCATCCATGTTATTAATAAAATATCTTTGGATTCTGAATGAAAAATCTCATTTGGTCTCCTTCAGCCTCCTGGACATTGGAAGAAAACATTACTGTAGGTAACCTGGGATTGGTTCTCCCCTTCTGTGCAATAGCTGATGTCAACATATCCAGGTGCCTTTCTTGCTGTCAAGGAAAATGTTGGAGATGGGGTGTATTGGTGTAGTTATGCTTGCATCTGTACTGAACATACCACAGAACATAGTCCTTTTTCCTGGACCTTGGTCTCTATTACCTAGAGGAAAACTGAGGTACCTGCTATGTCATTCAGTTCTTGATGTTTTTCTAGGGTAGTACCTCTTCAGATGCTGGGCAGCATTCAGCGCTGGAAGTCTTCCTCCAGATGTTCACGTTGAGCTCCTGGTGGATGTGGTGAAGCTGTGAATGCACCTTCTATGGAGAGGGGATCTAACAGTGACAGGGGCAGTAAAACTGTAGGATAAAGCAAGCAGGATTTTTTTCCTGTGTGCAATGGGAAGTAGATCTAGAAGCAGAGGTAGCCAGAAAAGAAGAAAATGTGTAGCCATATGTTCTTTCCCCAACTCCAGTGTTTGCGATTGCACTTCCTACACCATGACTGGTTGTGTCAATGCGTCCAGCTCCTCTGTGTCATTCTCACCTGTAGCTAAGTGCCACTTTCACCGCTTCTCTCGGATAAACAACTCTTCTGAAACCGGATGTTCTCGTTTCCCTGAAGTGAAATCAGCGCGGAAAGGAGAGCGGCGAGTGAAGGTGTTTTCCGAAGGGCTGGGCTTGGCTGGAAAGTGGTGCTGAAGGGACAGCTCTGCCTTCGCGTCTCCTGGAAGCCACGGCAAGCTCAGCGAAGAGCCGCGTTTCTTTTCACCTTGGAACCAGGAGCGGGGAGGGGGGCACGGGGAGAGCCGCCCTGGATTCAGCAGCACCGAGCCCCCTCGGCGCTCGGAGCCCATCCCGCGGACACCCTCTCCTCCCCCATGTTTTTGTGATGGTTTTCCTCCGCCGCGATGCTAAAGCGCCCCATCTATCTCACACGATGACAGAAGAGAGGTTTCCTAGCAGCAGGTGGGGGCTGCTTTTACCGCTTTCGGAGCCGGCAGTCAAGGGCGACCGAATGGCCACCTGAAGATGGAAGGAAAAAAGCTCGCCGGGAGTTCCGCGTTTGACCCGGTTGCCCGCCGAGTCCGGAGGCGAAGGCAGCGAGAGAGAGCGCCTTGGCAGCGTGCGGACGAGCCTCCTCTTCCTCTCGTGTCATCACTAAGGTATTGAGGATGGATGTGGTGGTGGGGAGCGGGGAACCATGGCAGCGCCTCTCTGACTCCCATCGGCTCATCTATCCATCTAGGAGCCTACAGGTAAAACCTGGCGAGGATGGGGAAGGTAGAAATCCGCTGCCAAGGTTGCACGGGCGCAGGTCTCGCAGGGTGTGCCCGCCGCTCGGTGCTGGGGAGGGGGCGCGGGCAGATTGTGTCATTAGGCAAGCTCCCATGGCTCCGGGCGGGCTGTCGCGCTGGAAGATGGACACACGGCACGGCTTTGAACCCTCTTGGTGTTGTTCAGAGAACTTGTCCGAAAGCATTCGTGGGGGGGGGCGGGGGGGAGAAGGAGGGATGAGGAGGGTTGACGAAGGTGACTGCCGAGGGCCATCCAAGAGAAGCGGCGTTATCTCGCTTTCAGCCGTGACTGAATCGGAGCGGGGTGGGCGTTGAGAGGACGAATCCAGATCATCACTGGCGTGGTGGTGGGGAATGGGAGGACATGGAAGATGAGGAAACGGAAACCATCTGATAACAGGGGAGGCAAAGGAGGCTTTGAAGGCGCCTGGGGAAAGCACATCGCTCCCAATTTTGCGCGAGAAGTATCTGGAAGGCGCGCAAGGCGCTCTGTGCCAAGCGCGTCTGCGGCGCAACTTTCGCGTTGCCGCTCGCTGTGCGCCTCCTTAGACGGGCAGCCGAAGGGCTCCAATTCAGGGCTTAGCCGGAAGGAATGGGATAAGGCGTGGATTTTCGTTCGAAGATAGGTGCATTTTTGTTCGAGGGAAAGAGGCGGGAAACGGTCTTCCTGAAGATCGGGATCACGAGTGCGCGCAGGTGGGGCAGCGCCCCGGGTCGGGGTCGGCAGCAGGGAGCAGTGGCCTCGGAGCAGGGCGCCGGGGGCCGCCGCGAGGATGTGCAGGGCGCCGCGGCCGGTTGGCAGCCCGCCCCGTCGCCTCCCCGCCACCTCCGCCCCACCCGGCTTCCCTGGCGCTCCACGCTTTCCGTCCAGCGGGCGGCCTAAAAATAACCCTCGCGCCCACTGCCGTGTCTCCCCTCCTCCTTCTCGTCCGCAGTCATGTCTGAGCCACCGCGATGGGGAAGCTCGAGGATAACGAGAGGGTGATCCTCAACGTCGGGGGCACCAGGCACGAGACCTACCGCAGCACCCTCAAGACGCTGCCCGGCACCCGCCTGGCTCTGCTCGCCTGCCAGCCCCA